ATATTGGATGCATCATAAACATGCCAAAAATGAACTCAAATCTTTTTAATGTATTGTCATGGATGAGGATGACTTGGTGATACCCCAGTTCTCCTGTACTGATAAGCATGTTTGAGACATAGGGCGCTTCGGCCCTTGAAAAATCTCGGGGCGTGCCTGGGCCCTGTGCGCACGCCTATGGGTATAGGACATATTATTGGTCAAGTATTATCGAAATATGCGGTCAATTACCTACCTACTGTTCTAACACCTAGCTGACTGGCTAACTATAAGATAAATGTTCACTATCTGGTGAATATACAGATCTGTTCTAGTCAGATATGGAATCAATAGTATCAACTTTACATTCAATTATCTTATCCGACATACTCTCCCATTCAAATATAAAATACTTTCCGGCAAATGGCACACGTGACCACGGTTGTAGATATATCTACAACCGTACACCTGACTAAAACATGTCACTCAAGGTCTTATCAATCATATCGATCATAGTCTGGGGGATAATTGATGCATCATCCCTTATAAATACTTTTGTAGCCTGTAGAATGTGGCAAACATGTAATAATATTATATAAATGACATCACAGTTCACATAGGCACCTAATAAAAATGACAGATTATTTAATTAAATAAAGAGATATATTGATGTAGTTTTTATTATATTGACAATAGTTGGTAAACCCGTATTTAATCCATCAAATCTTTTAAATCTCCACAAACAGTAATCCACGTATATAATTTTTATTTGTTTGTAATAATCCTACATTGCTGCGCACCCTTTAATAAATATTGTGGAAATTAATTTGATTTCACTAGAATAACATTTAACTCAGACTAACGTCAACGAAATTATTAATCTTCAAAAATATTATTTCACAACTAGTAATAATAAAGAAAATGAAACAACATTATTGTAGTAGAATAATTCTATACATATAGTTAGCGTTGTTGCGTAGTAAGTTTAAGACGATCAATTGTTTCAAGTATTCTTTTCATCTTGTCAATGATTGCAGTTGTATACTTGTATGTAGTTGTAGCCTGTAGGTGCTTACTGGTCTGTGGTCATTAGTCATTATTACAAGGACGGACCACGGAGTTTTCTAACTAATTACCTTGCAGTCCGGTCTATAAGTGCTCGAAAATAACCCTTAATTTCTTAAGCAAGTAAGCAATACCTTATATTATAATTAAAATTCTCGGAGAATGTAGGAGGTACCTATATGAAAAAAACACCTAATATACCTGTGTAAATAAAAAATATTATATAGACCACACACATCGCAGCAACCGATCACTCCAAGTAATGTTCTATTAGCTGATATTCACTATAGGTACCTACTACCTATTATTGCAACTTACACCTTGCGAGCGATTCACACGCTAGAAATATATTTATATAATATTATAATATTAAATACAAAAAATAATTTATCATTGCTTAAGATCAACAACTCGTAAATATAAGCAGGGCTGGGCGTTGCCATTTTTTCTTCTGAATTTCTTCTCTGTCCTAGTGGTCCGCTACCAGGGCCGGCCCTATAGGGTAGGTCAACAGGGACATTTGTCCTGGGCCCCGTTCTTACGTCATGAAAACTAGGTGGTAGCTGTAGTTAAAATGAAAAAAAAATAATTCATAGAGTTAAAGTTATAATATGTTTTGGAGAGAAATAGTACTTATTGTATTTCGTACAAATGCATATTGCATAATAATATTTATATAATGGCGTTATGGAGTTATGGTATAAAGTAGAAAGTGTAGTGTCTATTCTCCGACGACTTAGAAGTAATTCCGACAATGAATTCAAGTAATTCCTTTTAGAAGCATAAGAAATTTCCTCTATAATTTAGACTTGACTATGTCTATACCCAGTCTATCAAAACACCAAACTAAGCAATGTAATATACTATCAGATTATAATATTGAAAGATACCTACTATAGACGTTAAATTTTTATTCCATGGGTCGATTCATTCTTAATAGTCTTTCTGATCGATTTTTACAACACAAAAATCTTCTTACAAGTTTTAAATGTCTTTTACCAACAGGGCACAATCCAGCAGATGAACAAATTTCAAGTTTTAAAAATCTTTTTGACTTTTATGAAAAAGATATGCAACAAATTAGTTTTTCAGTAAGTACAAGTACAACTAAGAGATCGTTTTCCACTACGGTGAATTAAAACCTATCTCTGAAACACAATGGGACAGTCACGTTTAAATGGCAAATCTTCACATACATTGAGAAATACAAATTAAAGAATCCGAAGTATTAACAGTTCTTTCTGAAAAACTTAAATTTGATTTGTCATAATATTTAGGTAGGTAGTAATAAATATAATTATTATAAATATTAAATACATAATAATATAACATATTATATGGTAATAATAAATAAAAATGATTATTTAAAAATTAGTTTTATTTGTTTACTTGTGTGAAGGAAAAAAGAAAACTTAGAAACCCCCCCCCCCCCCAAACAAAGATTCTGGGTGCGCGCCTGCAATATAATAAAATACCTAATAAGAGGTATTAATTTATTTTGATATAATATGTAGAACACTGGGCCTCACTGAGAAGTCTCGTGTGGAGTCAAAAATATATAACAATTATTAACTAGACTGCAATACATATTAGATATATCTGGGGAGGGGGGGAAGTATAATAAATATATAATGAAAACATAGGAAAATATAAACAAATATATTATGTACCTATTTAAAAAAAAAAACATGGACAATTATTTTATCCGAGGCCCCGCAAAAACTAGCGCCGGCCCTGCAGTCCGCTAAGTAGATTCTCTTCTCTGGAATTGTTGGAAGGTGATCGGTCCTCCAATCGGTAGTGGAAATCCGTGAAGTCGAATGAAAATGATAACATATTTTCCCTTGACTTAGGACTTCCGATCCGAGAAGTATTAGGTAATGATACGCCAAAATTGTAGTTATCCCACGTACGGAGTTAAATTTTAAGTGTTTGGATGTCAGGTAACAAAATATAGAATAATAACACAAGTTGAAAATGTTATTAATTTGTTTATTTGACACTTTAAGACTTGTAGTAAAATTGGTTGTGAGTACAATGACGCTATTGTTAAAGAGCGCATGTAAGTATTGGCTCACGCAAAGCATGTGTCACGTCTGATTCTAAACTGCTCGTATTTCTCCTATATAGAGTATATAGAGTTCACCCTTTCCTAATGATAAGTTTGTGATGCCATTTCTGTGGCCTACGTGCTTAGAGGGTCCAGGACCTTTCTCGATTAGGTTATTTTATGTTTATATATTTTTAGTCGTTCTGTAGACATCTTGTTTAACAGCGCTATCGATAGTATGGTTCATAATAATGTGTGTGTCCTAATATATTATATTATATAGGTATATACATTAATTACTCAATACTCAATAGTGTATAATATTTTAATATATCATTATATAATATTCAAAATATGTTTAGCCCTTTTTTTACCAATACACTGCAGTATTGTATATTTGTATGTTAATCCTGACATTTGATCTTTTGTGTGGTCATTATGTGATTTTATTACCCGGGTGTGTTTAATATTATAACAAAATTCAAATCGTTGAATTTTGAGAGTCCCACCTTAGGTTTCCTATCTTTTTAATGTATTCTTGCTAAGCCTTTTCCTGTCCGTAATCATAGTATTGGGTTTTAAACATATATTCTATATATTTTATTATAACGCTTGTGTCCTCCAGTACCTATACATATAACATATAACAGCATAAATATATTTTTAAATCAACTAAAGCTAAAAAACCTAGAATGTCACGTTACCTATAAACTATGGACAGCGCTTAGAGAGAGAAGTCGGGAGACGATAATGTATTACCTAGGTACCTACTATATAATTCAGTGGGTAGCGGATTTGATTCGTCTTCTAGGAGGGGGGGATATCCTTTTGGTCCAAAAATTCTACTTAAAAGACCAACAACAAATTATTATTTATAATTATAGTTTATGATGTTAAGCCCTAGGGGGAATGACTTCTTCCCCCCCCCCCCTAAACGCAGCGCCAGCTACAAGTAATCATAACGAGGTAGGTAACTAGTTTTATGACTAAGACAGTCGACAATCGTTGAACTTTATTTATATATTTACGTCGTCGTTTCTGTGTTGGTGCATTTTCCGTTTTCTGTGAAATTATGGCTATTGAAATGTTAAAGACTGAAAGAGGAAAATATATAGGTTTAACTTTTAATCAATGGTTATATTTTCGCAAAAGAGAAAAAAAGTGATGTTAAGTCGATATGGAAATGTAACCATATTTTAAAAACAAAATGTCGTGGACGATAGACGCGTTAATTTAAGTAGGTAGGTAAAGGACAAATATTTTTAAAATACCGACCATAACCACATTCCGAATTAAACAGACACTAAGGTTAAAAAAACCCTAAATTTGCTAAAGAAATTGCTACTAATGTAATTGATGCAAGTTCTCATTTTGTAGTTTTTAAAAAGAAAACATTTTTAACCAATACCTACATCATAAATAAATGTGTAGACACTAGATAGTCCAGTCTGTCTTAAAATGGAAAGGAAAATGTTGAATTTAAATTTGTATATTATAATATGAGGGGTGGATTAACACACAATGAATTGACGTATCCATAAACACGATACTTTTTGAACGTTAAAATAATAATTAATAATATTATGTTGAGCATTGTTGACCATGCGGTGTCTTATAAACAGAAAAACCGATTACAACACGCTTATGTGTTAGTTCTTTCATTAGGTATATAAGTATATTATAATTTAGTATTCAAATATTCAATTGTAATAAACAGTTTCCAGCCATTCCGTTTTTTTTAATCATTATGTGTAGGTACCTACCACAAATAAAAATATAATCATTGATAAGGTAACACGATTATAATAGTTATTCATGATTAAGCTCTTTACAATCTGTTAGGTACACATTTATCAGGAAACAAAAAAACATTACTGTACACGACCAGTCATCTATTCCACTTTTGTTACTCATTTTTCTAAAAAAAAAAATAAGGATGATATTAACATAATTATTAATTAATGATACAATTTGTAAACAATATAGAAAAATAACAGTAAATAAAAAAATATGTAAAAAATTAAACAGCAGTACAACAGCACCAATTCCCATCCAAACATCCATTAGGTATCAGGTTTTCCATTTAGCATTTTTACTGAGCAACATAATAAGTAATAACATATAATTTAATGAAAGTCCTAAGTAGGTAAATATTCATATTGTTTTGATCACTAAGAATTAATAGTAATACAACAGAAATTTAAAAATATATTAATGATTTTTAATATTAAAATTAAGCCATTTTTATAATAAAATATTAATTAAAAAATAATGAATAAAATAGCTAAAAAAATATAAATTGTAAATAAAACTTGTATTAACCGAAATACTATAATAATATTATAAATAACACAAATATATAATATATAACAACAATTAATACTTTTCATAATAGTATCATTAGTTTTGATCATAAGACTAATGGACATAATAGAGAATGGAATAGATATGAAGCCATGTTAACAAGCAGCCTAGGTTAGTCTTGTATGAGGGAAAAAACAGTATGCATCAAGCGCACCTATTTTCTACATAAAAAACTAAATGGTGAATATAGGTAGTGCATGATATAATATATATGCCATGTATATCACACACCTGTGTGATTTGTTTCTAGTGATTCTATCTTAGTCAATGGTTTTGGTCATCTACACTGCGTTATCATTAAACTTGTTGATAAATCTATAAGATCACGTCATACAATGATATAAATAATGAAATCACATAATATAATATTATGTTTATAGTATATTTGTATATTTGTATATAATAATATAATATTGTATAACGAATAATTAGAAAACTAATAAATAATAATTAATCATTTGCATGGGATTTGCATGAGAAACAAACAGGTAATTGTCTGACAGTGATATAACCTGTTACCCCTATCCCCAAAGTTAACTCGTTTCTCGTTTAGGTTATTAAATTTCTAAATATTTTATTATTACTTTTAAAATAAGTTATAATATAGCAAAGTAGGTACGTAATATAAATATAATATATTACAATAAAGTAAAACAAAAATTATGATTATTTTATATTATTAAATTATGTTCAGTCCTAAATTTTTGAAAACAAAATCAATGAACCCAAATTAGATTTGAAAATTTCTAAAATAACTTTTTGTTTTGTATAATTTTTAATTTATTTGTATTAAAGCCCATCTCAATAACACGTGTGTAGTACTTATGGAAAGTTTTTTAACAATGCAAGTTATTACTCCATCCTTTAACAATGAATCTTTACCAGCAGATCCTCCCATAGAACAATATACAAGCAGAAAAATATTGGCTTACTGCACACTTTATGGTACTCAGGTCTCAGACAATTGTTGAAAAATGGATGGAATTCAACCTGTAAATAATTATGAATATTAACAATATTACAAATGTTTTATGTGTCTGTAAAGAGTAATACATTTATGTAAATGTGTCCAATATGTTTTGTACATTTTAATCGGAAACATGTTTATTAGGAAATAATGCACATTTTTAAATTTGATTCAATATAATAATTATACTGCTAATAGTTGAGATTCTATTTGCTTTAAAAATTAACTCCAAATATATTCATCATAGAGTATTAAATAATACATAACAATCAACACAAGATAACAAGGTTATACATATATATTATATACTATTACCAGATTAACAGCGGGAACAATATTAGTTTGTTCGGTATACATTTCTTCTTTATGATTTGTGGTATAGTTAGATCTTAGATATGCCAATTTTCTTAAGTGAACCATTGTCATCGTAGTGCAACTTTATAAGAGTCTTCCAAGTTAAGTTATACAAAGTTAACAATTTTCAGGACTTTTTGTATTAATACGCGTACGCCCAGCTCCTAGCCAGTGTATTAAATATAAATCCAAGGAACTGGTATCTAGATTATCCAATGACCTTTGCAGAGCATCTATTACTTGCAGTAACTCATCATCCATGGTATTTGGGAGCTTTGAAAAAAAAAAACTAACTAATATTATAATAATCACAATAATAGTAATAATGGTAATAATAATATCATTAACATCTCAAATACAAATAATGTACTACTAAAATTTTTACTATGGATAAATGTTATTCTGTAAACGCAATTATATGACTTTTATCGGTAAATGATCTTTCCAATTTGAACAATGCATAGTCAATTAATGTTCATAATATTATTAATTTCATTGTAGCTGTGAATGTATTGTGGTACATTATTACTTATTATATTTTGTAAAGTCAATTGTCTATAAGAGGACACTACACCAACATGTGTTGTCTCCGTCTTACAAGCTCGTAACATAGCAAATTTACGCTGAGCAGATCACGTTTAGCTCCATAAGTTTCAAAATTAGAGTGAATCGACCTATTATGAATCTTGATGATAAGACCATTATCTGTGTTGTAAGTTGATTTTTTAAGATGGTTCAATTTTTTACCAAGTTATGCGTATATAAAATAGTGTAAATTAAAAATTTCATAACTCACTTAAAAACTGATAATAAAGTTATGATAATCAAGTTTCACGATAGGTCAATTTACTCTAATTTTTAAACTAACGGACCTAAACGTGATCTGTTGAGTGTAAATTTGCTATGTAACATACTTGTAAGCCGGAATCAACACATAATACAATGCATTAATACAAGTTTTCATTATACATTTATTGGAAAAAAATCCTGGCTGAGTTTTATATTTAGATTCAAATGTATTTAAGTGGTTTGATTAGTGAAAGAATAATTAAATAATAGTTTGTGAAACTATACTAAAATAAAAGGCCATTAGAAATTACAATATTTTAACTTAAAATAAAAATATAATTTGGTAAATGATACATGTATCTATTGTACCTCTATACAGTGTGTTTCCTTTTAAAGGTAACACTAAATAATTCTGTCCAGTGACATCGGATTAATATGTGGTTTTCAGGAGGGGATAGGGAATACATAAATACACATTTCTTAATGATTTTTACATTTTTAGATCTTTCCGTGTGCGCATGCGCAATACAACTTGCATTTTTTAAATGGTAACAGGTGTTTTGAATACCAAATTCGGATAGACCGAATTTTTTTAAGTCGATTTTACCATAGCTCTAAAATCAAAATTGACTAAATGGCAACCAGTCAAAGTTTCGATTAAAAATTTTTGAATTTTTCAGCAATCATACTAGAATTTTATGAATTATTATGAAATTTTATTTATTATTTTTGTGTCCGTAGGTTTGCAGATATTATTAAGTCATTTAAATTTAATTTTGAGGAATTAATTAATCTCACAACGTAAATCTATCCAAATAAATAATAGAAATGATTGAAATTGTAAAAAAATTGTGTTAATTAGTTATCTTTTCTTACTTAGTAATTGAACTAACATTTACATCTAATTTGAAGTTAATTAATTCCTCAAAATTAAATTTAAATGATTTAATAATATCTGCAAACCTACGGATACAAAAATAATAAATAAAATTTCATAATAATTCATAAAATTCTAGTATGATTGGTGAAAAATTCAATAATTTTAATCGAAACTTTGACGGGTTGCCATTTAGTCAATTTTGATTTTAGAGCTATGGTAAAAAGGGCCAAATCGACTTAAAATAATTCGGTCTATCCAAATTTGGTATTCAAAACACCTGTTGCCATTTAAAAAAATGCAAGTTGTATTGCGCATGCGCACACGGAAAGATCTAAAAATGTAAAAATCATTAAGAAATGTGTATTTATGTATTCCCTATCCCCTCCTGAAAACCGCATATTAATCCAATGTCACTGGACCGAATTATTTAGTGTTACCTTTACAAGGAAACACACTGTATATAAAGATTTTTCAATTTTTAGATTCTGAGCAGAGTACTAAATATATTATTTTTAGATTATGAGTGATGAATGTATTGATTTTACAACGATGTGTTTTTTTTGTGTGTCATCACGGCTTAGGGCGGTAAACTGCTTCGATTTTCTTCAACAGTATCTTGTTGATTGTTCGATGGGAAAGTGAATCTAGTTGCCGTATTCGGAAGATCAAATTTTAAAATTCTCAATAGTTTTCAAAAGCACTGGGAAAAATAACATAAAAATTAAGGAAAAACGGGGAAAAAAATTTTTGGTTTTTGGTGTAACTCTAAAACAAATGACCGTAGATAAGTGAAATTTTCACTGGTTGTTTATATTTGCATTGTCTATACATGATAACATTTTCAAAATATTTTGATTTATTTTGAACTGTTTAGGGACATTTTCAGTTTCCAATTTTAATAGTTTTTTTTTTTATGAATTTCAATAAAAATTTATTAGTTGGTTAAAAAAAGCTTGAAAATTGAATAGAGGGCTTCGAGTATATTGTTTCAAAGGCATTTGAAAAATATTAAAAATCCTTAGTCACAGTTTGTTTTTATAAGTCCAAAACTTGAGTATGGAAAAATCACAAAAATTAGAAAATTATTTTGAGTTGAGAATTCATTCATAAAAATTTTTCTTTTTAAATCTAAGATTTGAAAATGTAGGCACAATTTTTTTTAAAAGGAATTAAAGTTCAAATTTTGACAAAATTTATCATATTTAAAATGTAATAATTATTTTGTAGTTAAAAATTTATAAAATGTTCAACTTTTATAGCTAAGGATTGAAAATTTAAAACAAGGGTCCACATTAATAGGTAAATATATAAATTACTTTATTCACAATAATATCATCAAATATACTTAGTAAAATCATAGGCTGACTCACCGTTTTCGCTCAGAATCGCTTTTCTTATACAATGATACTATATCATTGAATCCAAATTTAATACCATCCATTATACAGTGACCCACTTGTTAACTACTGTACAGCAGAACAACTTTTTTCCTTTACTTTTCTTCTTAATCTATACATACAAATGTTTGGTTAATTATTTTGTTAATCGGATTTAAATTTTAGTACGGTTTGGTTAGATTAAGATTTTATCTGATAGTGTTCGGAGACACTTTAATTTCAATCATTCAAAAATTATTACTTGAAGTGACTTGACATTTTTTACCTATCAGTATAAATGTATATTATTATTTTCTATACACAATACAATTTTCAAATATTAAGACTAAAACTTTAAGCTATAATATATACAATGAATCTATCCAAGTCCATCCCTTAATTAAATATTTTAATTTTATTCATAGTAATTTAGATAAAAAAATTAAAGTTCTTGACATTTTTTTTGATTTTAAAAAAAGTGACTCTGTTGACAATCTTTTATTGATTATAAGTTATAATTTTGTGGCATAAGAGGCATGGTCGGTTTTCTCTTATGGAATTTCTGTGTGGGGTTGTACTATCTACTACTATAATTTTTTTGATTAAATCATATTAGGAAAACCTAAATTATATCCTACTGATTTAATTTCTTCTGGGCTTAGTGTTAGAACAATTATTCAAATTGATGAAAGAGTTATTTTATTGTATTTCTATTTTCTATAATTATAATTTAAGTGTATTTCAGAATACTCATTTGTATAAAACTTGAAATACTTGTAATTGAAACATACCACGTTCTAATACAATTTTTAAAATAATGTAATATAATAATACTGTATTAATAATCTAATATAATAATACTGTATTAATAATCTAATATAATATAATCTGTGGCGGTAGTGTGTCTGCCTATTTCTTAAGAAATTTTATTATTTATTTATCAACTATAAGTAATTTATTTTTTCATTAGTAGATAGAAAGGTATGTTGAATTGGTTTTTTCCAAATCATCATGTTATGATATATTATTATTTATTATCTACACTCACTATGCATTACTGACATAATGATAATTTCATAATAATAATATATAATTATATATCATAACATGATGATCTGGAAAAAACCAATTTAACATACCTTTCTATCTACTAATGGAAAAATAAATTACTTATAGTTGATAAATAAATAATAAAATTTCTTAAGAAATAGGCAGACACACTACCGCCACAGATTATATTATATTAGATTATTAATACAATATTATTATATTACATTATAATATAATCTGTGATTATATTATCTATGCCAAAGCCAAAACTTTACAAACGTATACAACCAGATATTGGGTTTATTGCAGAAATATATTATACCTTATTTTGACGTAATTAACATATTTTCATGCTTCAGATGATACTTTGGTAATAATACTTGAAGTACTTCTTTAATGTACAGCTCATTATTATACACTGACGTTGTGTCTGAAAAGAAATATTAAACTAAAATACTGAGTAAAAATAATTGTTTAATAAATAGACAAAAGCAAAATATATCTAATATGATTTTAAGAAATATTTAAATTTATAATCAAATAGAGGAATATAACAAAAAAAAGTAATTCAAATAACATTACATAAACCAATAATAAGACAAATGATTATACATAAATAGTATCAATGGGGCTGGGCTAAAGGGCTCTATATCGATGCAGCTGGGTCAACTTTTCAAATGGGGTGTTAGGGTGGTACTATCCCATGACTGGCGCAGAATTACATGATAAGGCCTAACTTCTAGGCTCGTTCGGCTACATTATTTTTATTTACATCATAACTTTGTTACAAGTAATGACGGTGGTGGTGGTAAGTACTTAATAATATTATGAAAATGTGTCATTTTAAATTTAAGTTCAGTCCGCCTCTGAATAGTATTATACTAAAGTTTACTATTGTATGTCAATATAACTAAAAAGAGCATGAGTATTGATATGATTTTATAAAACTAAATCATTTGTTCATTATTAATTTAGTTTTTTTGTATATTTTGTAAATTAAATAATCACATAAACTTATTTATATATAAAATAATATATTTGTATCAATATTCAATCAATTTACCAATAACACGATAGTATTCACCAAGTGCCACATCCAAGACATTCAATATTATTTTATTATCGCAAATTGTGTACGTACCAACTAAAATCAGAAAAAGTTTAATATAAATAGGAATGATCGAGATTCAAGATAAAAGAACAATATATTTTATTAATGTCTTACTTACAATTTCAGCCAGTTGACTATTTTCTCCTTGTGTGTTCAATGGTAAAAATGTTTTAGAAATAGGAACCATTATAATAAATGGTTATACACTAAAATATAATGAACTGAATAAGGTTTTTTTTCACCGCATTGGTATGAGTTCGAATAAATCTGACCGCCCGAAGTGGAAAATATTGAAATGTTGAGTATAATAATTATAATAATAATCTAATAAGTAATGACACTCATAAATACTAACTATTGTAGTATTGTCTAATAATAATAATAATAATAGAAATTAATTTAGAATTAAGATATTATAATATTATACCATTTATTAAAAATTTATAAATACCCATATACTTCATTAGGAACAAATTAACTATTAGTAACAATCACGATTTAAGATATACTTAAAAAATACTTAAATCATAAATTTAGATATACTATAAGTATATCTTAATTTGTGACTTAAATAATATATTATCTTAAATTGTGATAACTAAAAATTAGTAACTGTGTAACTGTGATATCCACGGACTAAGATATTATAATCATAGAACTATGTAATGGACTGGAAACCACATGGTCGGCTGGGGTCGGGGGACGGCCACGAAAAGGTGTCACTTAACTGTAGAACAGTTTTCTGATGATGACATCACGTTTTGAAAAGCACTTGATTCTGATTGAGAAAAATCAGAGTCATTTGAACAATTGCTAATTGGAGTATGCAGGGAAAGTGAACTTGAATGGCCGCGTTCATCTAGTTCTTTTAATTCCATGTCAGCGAATAATTTAGCAAGTTCTACTTTAACCTTTATTTGATTTCTTTCTGAAAACTTTTTGAAGGTTCCTGCATAACTGAGAAATAAGTGGTCAACACTATCATATGTATGTTTCTTTTTATTTTCTAAATAACCAATAACTTTGTCTACGCCAACAGGCTGATTATTAGGTTCTTTACTATTTTTTTTTATTTTCTTCGGTGCTGGTAATGTAGAATCAGTATGCGTGTATAATTGAGGAACATCCGATTCTTTGACGTCGAAAATTGATGTTGATGCCTGAGGTGGAGAAGTTATCTGTGAAGGAGATGTTAATTCTTGTATCTGTATCTTTAATGGAAAGTCAGTTGTAATATTGGATGTCGTTTGTCTTGAAGCTAAACATTTATCTAAAAATTGTAACTGACTTGCCCACGGCCATTTTTGATACTTTCTAGTGGCTTGTCCTGTTGTACCATTTATTTCTTTTTTGTATCGTAAATAGTTGTCTCTTATGCTTTTCCATTTTTTTTTTAGCACTTCATCTGTTAATATAAAGCAGTATAATTTTAAATTATTTAAGACTCTGAATAGAGTGATGAATGTATTGATTTTAAGATAATATGTGTTCTTTGTTTTTTTTTTTTCTATATAAATTCCTCTTTTCAGAATTGAAAAATAAGCTATTTATAGGCATTTGAAATACTATAATATTTTAATATATATATAGAAATATTAATGAAAAATGTCGTTTTTAAATAAAAATTAGTTTTATGGTGGTTTTGCACGTACAACTGTAGGCATAATAGTGAAAGAAGTCTATACAGTAATTTTGAATGTCTTACAACCCATATATACATGCCTAAACCTACAGAAGAAACTTGGAAAAACTCTGAGATCGGTTACAAAGAAATATGGAATTTTCCAAATTATGTAGGTAGTATTGATGGCAAAAACATATCTATAAAGTGCCCTCCTAACAGTGGATCCATTTTATAAATTTATCATGGTAGACATTGGCAGTTACGGGCGCCACAGTAATAGTGGTATATTTTAAAATTCATTATTTTATAATGAATACATAAAAGGGAAATCTCTGTTACCTCCTAAGGCACTACGACTGAATTAGTTCCACATGAATTAATAGGCGATGGGGGTTTTGGATTGCAAACCTTGCAATGATCTTGTGCCCTTTTCCAAGATCGGTAGTCTTACATGATGAAAGAAAACAAAATTTTAATAAAAGGCTATGTAGAGCAAGACGTGTAATAGAAAATGTATTTGGTAGGTATACTAACACAAAAATGGAAAATTTTTTTTTAAGACCTATTGAGAGTAACGTACAAATGACAGTACATGTAGTGAAAGCCACATGTTGGTTACACAATTTTATCAAAATGAAACAAAGTACAACTGTTGTCAACAACATTGAAAACCCACATGACATTATTCACGGGCTTACTCCGGCATAACCAACAAATCTCGGATCATCAACTGCTGCATTCAAAGTTTGAGAAAAGTTTGTAAATTATTTCAACCAATAAAATGTACTATGCATCATTAACTATTGTAATAGCTTGATGCAAAATAATTATTATATGGGTAAACAATAAACATTTCATACACATACATATTATTTCATATATTATAATATAATATAATAATATATAAATTATCTATATATATACCTAGGTACAAACATTTTGTACATACCACTTTCATTCAATTCGTTTCCAATGTTTTTCCAAGTCTCATCCTTCAAACCAACATTCTTATAACTTTTGCAACTAGTATCATAAAGAAACGTATGTGTTCTCACCAATTCTATGAGTTGTTCTGTCATTTTTTTAAATTTAATTTGAATATTGCAATACTGATCGACAACAACGGAACGACAAGTTCACTCGCTTGATTAAAGCGTTCTGCAATCTGTAATCTGTATTCTGTTTGTCCATGTTTGACAGAGCCTTTAGCTGATAAGAATACTGTTCTTGAAGTTTTCAGCGCTACCGGTGGTTTTATTTGGCTTCACAATTTGTCCGTGTTTTATACAGAGGGCGCTGTAAACTCTATGAACACTTTGAGACCCCCCCGCACTTTGCTTCTTGTGTCCGTCATAAGCTGCTTGTGGTACAACATAGCAAAAACTGTTTTGCGAGGGACTCATTTTCTCGCACAATATCTGTTGTAGAACTACCAAATTTTCACAACACGTAAAGAAGAACTTTATCTGTGCAACAGCTTGCTTTTTTTTAATTCCACAATCCATTCATTTTTATAAGCAAATGAATAAAAAACAAAATATTTAGAAGCAAATAACTTTTATTGTATTTATATTATCTAAAATATAGGCACGCTGTTGCATAGATAATTTTCTACCCTATATGTTCAGTAATTTTGGAGCCATTACTACAAACACGGAAAGATAAAAGTTGTCACGCACAAAACAGTTTTTTCAATGTTGTACATTTGTAAGACGAAGACAACATATGCGGATGTGACGTCTTCTTAAGGTGATTTATAAATATTTCTTGTTTTCTGGAACTAAATAATTTATGAAATTAATTATTTGGCAATACCTATATAAGACTTCTGACTTAGTAGGTCGTTTGTAGGTTGCTAACTGCCTAATAAAATAAGAAAATACATAATGATTATAAAATATTATATTTTGCAACTTTGTAAGAACGTACATAGCAGAAAGGTACCACTTAAATTATTTTAAGGTCAATTAAATAAAGTTACACATTTGGGTCTTAAGAGAACACCACAAACGCACGATTTTTTTAGATGTTTTCGGTTTTTATTTAGGAGATTTTCTTCAAATTGATTATCACATTTAATTATGTTTAATGTAGGTAGTGTAATATTATTGGTACCTACCTAGTTAGGTTTCTATTTTATAATTAGTGTTCGGATTAGATAAATACTTTTTTATCTAGATAAAAAAAAGATCCAAATATTTTTTAAATGGTTTTAAATTTAGGTAGGCACTAGAAACATAATAATAATAATGTTATAAACAAAAATAATTACATAGGTAATTACTAACCATAGCCATTGTTTGAGAATCTATATAAATATTTAAAAATGCGTTTGTACTATTTCTCGATTCTTATCAATAAAAAATGTATCTAGATGAATTTATTTAGATTTGTAAATTAATTATCTAAGATTAACGTCTAGATACCTTGTAACTATTTATCTAGATAAGATAAAAGATGAACAAATAATTATCTAGATAAATTTATTTAGATAAGTCCGAACACTGTCTATAATAGATCAATAGCCAATAGGTTACCTAAATTACATTTTAGATTCTGAGCAGAGCGATGAATGTACTTATTGATTTTACAATGATATGTTTTTGTTATTTAAATTTTTTATTTTTGTGTCCGTTACCACCGTTTGGGGCAGTAAACTGCTTCGATTTTCTTCAACAGTATCTTGTTCGATGGGAAAGTGAATCTAGTTGGCGTATTCGGAAGGTCAAATTTTAAAATTCTCAATAGTTTTCAAAAGCGCTGGGAACAATAACATAAAAATTAAAGAAAAACGGAAATTTTTACCCAAAATCGTTTTTCGACAAAATCAATTTTGGTTTTTGGTGTAATTCTAAAAAAAATGTACGTATATACATGCAATTTTCACTGGTTATTTAAAGTTGCATTTTCTCTACACGATAAAATTTTCAAAATATTTTGATTTGTTTTGAACTGTTTAGGAACATTTTCAGTTTCCAATTTTATTAGTCTTTTTTTCTATGAATGTCAATAAAATTTTATTAGTTAGGAAAAAAAAGTTTGACAATTTAATACAAAGGTCCTACTATATTGTTACAATGACATTTGAAAAATATTAAAAATCCTTAGTCAAAGTTTACTTATAAGCATTTGAAGTATAAATCTTGACAAAATACGGAAAAATCACGAAAATAAGCAAATTATTTTGAGTTGAGAATTCCTAAAAATTTTTCTTTTTTAATCTAAGATTTGAAAATGTAATACAATATAAGTTTGTCTACCTTTATAAATAAAAAAATATATTGAAGTTCATATTTTTACAAGATTGGGTGTTCACATACCTAATTTCTCATGTAGCAATTTTGTTGTCTTATTGTAATTCAAAAACGAAAACTGTAGATACCTAGATGAAAATTTTACTAAATGTTTATATTTTCATTTTCTTTACGGCATAAACCTTTGAAAATATTTTTGACTCTTTTTGAGCTTTTGCTCATTTGCTGACATTGGCTGTTTTAAAATTTTGTAGTTTTTTTCAATATAAATATCAATAAAATGTTATTTGTTTTTAATAAAATATTAAAAATACATATTCACAACTTTTTTTATAAGCATTCAAAGTTCGAATTTTACAACATTTAACAAATTTAAAATTTAATTATTATTTTGTCGTTAAAAATGTATAAAATGTTCAACTTTTATAGCTAAGAATTGAAAATTTGAAACGAGGTACCTCGTAAATAGGTTATATATAAATTACTCTATTCACAATAATATCATAAAATATAAATATAGTAATATCGCATAGGCTGATTGACCGTCTTCGCTGAGAATCGTTTTCCTTATACAATGATATATCATTGAATTCAAATTTAACACCATCCATTACAGTGACCCACTTGTAACCTACTGTACAACAGAGCGACATCCACTCGCCAACCTTTTTAAAAAATTTAAATCCCGGTAATCGAGTTTTGGACAAGTACCTACCTATACATAGGTAACTTATAATTCATATTTTAATAAATATAACTTCTCCAACACTGTGCCTATAGGGGAACTGGCAGGATAAAGCGTTAGAATAATAGAATGTCTATAAACTTGTTGACTAGTTTGTATGGTTAAATTTGGCATGCGAACAACAACTGAAATAAAAAACCAGAAAAGGTACATTGTAGATCACAAAGAATTTTGTAAAAGAACATACGATTTATCAATAAACCGTATAGGTAGGTATACTGTGTATAATATATAAGTTCTATACTTCTATAGATTTTTCATAATAAATAATATAATATTTTATATCATCTATGGCAATCGTCAATAATTGTCGACATTCGTGTGAACAACAAAGATAAAAAGCTATCAATATGGACGGATAGTTCGTTAAGCCGTACCTATATTATATTATAATGTAATTTATGACACGAACTAAAACGTTTCGTTATGTTTAGGATATTTTCATAAAATATTTCAAGTTTCAGTTCTTAGTGAGATGAAGATTAATGAAGATAGCTGTTTCTTTGGCGGCCGCCACTATATATTTAGCTATAGATTTCACCGGAAGAGTCGATGTTTATACGCGTAAGTTTGTTTTCATATTATTAACATCATATTAATATATTAGGAGCCTTATATTAATTTTCAAGCGTTTTGACCCAATGAATATACATTTATTGACGTCTATAGTAAAAAAAACTAAAAATATTTGTAACTGAAAATTTCCGTAAACAACTCAAAACAAATCAAAATATTTTGAAAATATTAGAAAATGCTAATATAAATATTTACTGAAAATGCCATGTATATACGTCATTTGTTTTAGAGTTACACCAAAAACCAAAATCGATTTTGGCAAAAACAGATTTTAATAGGTGCCCGTTTTTTCTTAATTTTTATGTTGTTTTTCCCGACGCTTTTGAAAACTACCTATTAGACATTTTAAGTTTTGACCTCCCAAATGCACCAACTAGATTCACTTTTCCATCGAACAAGATACTGTTGAAGAAAATTGAAGCAGTTTTGCTGCCCCAAACGATGATGACAGATCTTCGTTCAGATTCGTTTCTTATGTAAGTACCTATGCAATGATTTATCATTGGATTCAAATTTAATACATGCACGATAGGTACACTACAGTGATTAATACCTACAGCAGAGCGGTTAATTCCCATTATTTGTGCTTCTTCAAGACACCAGTTACTTTACATGAATAATTCTTGGCACCAACAACAAAAACCTTCAATACCTAGGTACACTTTTAAAAATTATAAATTAAATTTAAGTATTTAACATAATTTTAAACATCGTAAATAGTGTAATTGTATCGGCTAAAACCTCGTTGTTGATTCCAAAAAATAAAAATATATTAAATCTTTGTCATAGATAATGTATTAGTTTAACTATCATTTGCTTGTATGAATTAAACAAACAATTAATTCACATGTCAGATAATAATACTAAAATGATTAATTTATATTAAACATTATATAAGTAATACCTATAGTATTGGTTTATTTATATAGAAATAACCTACAACATTTTTTAAGAAATTGGTAAAAATAATTTGACTAAAATATCATTTTTGAAGGTAAGTTATAGCTGTTGACTCTTTATAACAATAGACCAAAAATAAGCAACAAACTACATAGGTACTAATTATTATATGTACAAGGTAATTTTTTTAAAATGTTTACTGTATTAAACTTTGATTTGACATATTAGTATATTAATTGTTAGGTACCAAGAACCTACCTATAGTATCTAGTATCTACCTAATTGATTTCTAAAATTACAATAATTTAATAAGAAAAAACTTAACTTAGCCTTTGTCACTAAAAAATACCAGATTAGGAAAAAGCAGGATAAAAAAATATAAGGCAATTTATTAATATATTATATGAGGTAGTTATTGAAGTATCCACTATCCAGTAGGATTCATACATATAAACATAGGTAAATAATAAATATCCATAATAATTAGAACACTAGGTCTATACTTATCCAAACTGAGAAAATTCTAATAGACTTAACATAATACATTGTTTAACATTATAATGGACATTAAATATTTATCTTATTGCTTCAAGTGTTTCAAGTA